TTCTAACTTCTCTTGTGATTTCTTCTTGTTATTTAAAAGTGTGTTGTTTCAACCAGGTATGGTGGTAGGGCCTGTTGTCCCAGCTACTTGCAGGGAGGATCACTTGATCCCAGGGGTTTGAGCCTAGCCTGGGTAACATAGCAAGACTCTGTCTTTAAATATATATACTAATAAAATAAAGTTGTGTTGTTTAATAGCCACATATCTTTGGATTTTCATTTTCCTATCTGCTACTGGTTTTTAATTTCAATTCATTGTGATTGGAAAAGATACTTTGCATGACTTCATGATTTTTAAATTTATGGGGACTTTTTTTTTTTTTTTTTTGCCGCCAAGTATGGTCTGTCCTGAAGAATGTTCCATGTGTAGTTGAGAAGACTTTGGATTCTACTTTTGTTAGGTTTTTGCTGTATAAGTCTTTTAGGTCTAGTTGGTTTGTAGTATTAAGTCCTCGATTTCCTTACTGATGTGTCTAAATGTTCTATTCTTTATTGAAAGCGGTTGTTAGGTTAGTGTGCCTGTGGGAAAGATGCAAAGAATTGCACAAAGAGTAGGTCAGAGAAAATTTATTTAGAAAGTAGCTCAGAGGAAAAGAGTGGCTCCACCTCTCCAAGATTGGAGAGGGGACTGGACATTTAAGGAATGTTTGGCAAGAAATGCTTGAGGTTGAAAGATTTAAAGTTTCCCTGTACTGGGAGCAAGTTGCCATGGTGGTGGGGTGGTGGTCTGTGTTATGTGTCACAAAGGGACAGGTAAGCACAGGAACTGTTGTCATGGTGATAGGTGGTGGTCTGTGTCATGTGAGTCATGAATATCTGATCACAATAGATAAGGTCAGCTTGGCCCTTTATAGCTGGAAGACAAATACTTTAGATAAAAGGGTAATTAGTGAGTGGATTGCCTGAGCCCGCAGGTTCGAGACCCGCCTGGGCAGCGAGACCTCATCTCTACAATACATCAAAAAATCAGCCGGGCGTGGTAGCGCGTGCCTGTAATTCTGGCTACTGGGAAGGCTGAGGCGGAAGGATCGCCGGAGCCCAGCAGGTCGAGGCTGCGGTGGCCGGGAGCGGCCGCTGCACTCCAGTCTGGGCGACGGAGTGAGACTCCAACTCAAAAAAAAAAAAAAAAAAAAAAAAAAAGGGTAATTAGTACAAAGCATGTTTGGGGGGTTAACTACCTCTGGAAACTGGTTTTGTTTCTTGTTTAATGAGTATAAGGTGGGTTGAAGTAAGCTGCTGAAAAAGCATGACAAAGCTAAGCAATGTTAAAATAGCTGCCACTCTAACTAAAGTTGCTCTATTTTGGCTTTTCACCCTTTCAGTGGTGGATTGAAGTTTCCAACCATTATTATAGAGCTATTTCTCCCTTAAATTCTGGCAGTGTTGGCTGAGCATGGTGGCTCATTCCTGTAATCCCAGCATTCTGGTAGGGCACGGTGTAAGGATTGCTTGAGCCCAGGAGTTGGAGACCAGCTTAGGCAACATAGTGAGACCTCATCTCTACAAAAAGATTTTAAAATTAGCTGGGTGTGGTGCCTGCCTGTAGTCCCAGCTACTTGGGAGGCTGAGGCAGAAGGATCCACTGAGTGCAAGGTTAAGGCTGCTGTGAGCTATGATGGTGCTACTGCACTCCAGCCTGGGCAACAGAATGAGACCCTGACTCAAAAAAACAAAACAAAACAAAAAGTCTGTCAATGTTTGCTTCATATATTTTGAGACCTTGGTGCATAAATGTTTATAATTATTATGTTAAAAGGCAAAATTACAAATAATTTAAAATTTGTTTAAAGATCTCACTTGAGTGGCACATGCCTGTAGTCCTAACTACTCAAGATACTGAGACAGGAGGATGACTTAAACCCAGGAGGTGGAGGCTGCAGTGAGCTATGATCACCAAGGCTGACAAAGCCAGACTCTGTCTCAAAAAACAAACAAACAAACAACAACAACAAAAAGAAAAACAGAGAGCGGGAGCGAGCAAGAAAACTCTTACTTGGCTTTATTTGCAGTTGTAGAATCAGGCAACACTTCATTCCATAATATAGAATAAAGTGTTCACATGAGTTGAGCAGAATAGTTTCCCTTTTTAGCAAAGAAGAGCTGAAGAAAGCAGAAGCAACGAACAAAAAGTGTTAGTCATTCCAAAGTTACTTTTCTTACAAGGCAGAGGCAGAGAGACAGAACAATAGAAAAATAACTGATTGGTTAATGTCAGATTGCTTCAGGCTGTCTTTTTTGTGTGAGGATTCCCCCCCCAATATTGTTTGTTGTGGTAAAATACACATATAACGTTTACCATCTTAACTATTTTTAGGTATACGGTTCATTGATATCAGACACCTTCATAATGTTATAAAACTATCACCACCATCAATTTCCATAATTATTTTTATCTTGCAAAACAAATTCTATTTGCATTTGGTATGCATTTCCCTAATGGTTAGTGATATTGAACAGTTCATGTGCTTATTGGCCTTTTATATGTCTTCTTTGGAGAAATGTTTATTCAAGTCTTTTACTCTTTTTTTAGTTGGGTTGTTTGGGGTTTTTTGTTTGTTTGTTTGTTTTGAGGTGGAGTCTCACTCCATCACCCAGGCTGGAGTGCAGTAGGTGCAGTAGCATGCTCACAGCCACCCCAGCATCAACATGCTAGGCTCTGGCGATCCTTCTGCCTCAGCCTTCCAAGTAGCTGGAACTACAGGCATGCACTATCACGCCCGGCTAATTTTTCCAATTAATTGTAGAGATGAGGTCTGACCAAGTTGCTGTCTGTTCTCGAACCCGTGGGCTCAGGCAATCCGCTTACCTCAGCTTTCCAAAGTGCTGGGATTACAGGCTTGAGCCACCACACCTGGCCGTTTGGTTTTTTGTTGTTGTTTAGGAATTCTTGGTATATTATAGGTATTAATCCCTTACTCGATGTGTGATTTTGCAAATATTTTCACCCATTCTGTGGCTTGCCTTTTTTTTTCCTGTTTTCTCTGTCCAACTGAAAATGTGGCTTGCCTTTTTACTCTGTTGTTGGTATCTTTTGATGCACACATTTTTAAAAGGTTTATGCAGTCCAATTTGTGTATTTTTTCTTTTGTTGCTTGTGCATTTAGTGTCATATCCAAGAAATCATTGCCAAATCCAATGTCATGAAGTTTTGTCCTAAGCTTTCTTCTAAGAGTTGTATTGTTTTATGACTTATATTTAGGTCTTTGATTCATTTTCAGTTAATTTCTGTATAAAGGACCCAACTGTATTCTTTTACATGTGAATATCCAATTTTTCTAGCCCCATTTGTTGAAAAAACAACTGAGTAGTCTTGACGCCCTTGTCAAAAAGTATTTGACCACAGATGTAAGGGTTTATTTCTGGGCTGTTTTATTCTGTTGGTCTATATGTCTGTTTTTATGCCAGCACACAGTGTTCATGGCTCCCTCTGCCTAGTGGTGGTTCCTGGGTCCAATTTTTTGTTTTTTGAGTTGAAGTCTCACCCAGGCTAGAGTGCAATGGCATGATCAAGGCTGCCAGAGCCTCATACTGCTGGGCTCAGTCGGTCCTTCCACCTCAGCCTTTCAAGTAGCTGGGACTACAGTCACACACTACCATATCCAGCTAATGTTTTAAAATTTATTGTAGAGATGAGGTCTCGCCATTTGCTCAGGCTAGTCTTGAACTCCTGGGCTCAGGCAATCTTCTTATCTCAGCTTCCCAAAGTGCTGAGATTATATGTGAGCCACTGCGCCTGGCCTGTTACTGTTTTTTTTTTAAACCTGAGGCTCACTATGTCACCTATGCTTGAGTGCAGCGTCATGATCATACTGCACTGCAGCCTTGAACTCCTGAGCTCAAGGGATCCTCTTGCCTCAGCCTCCCTAGTAGCTGGGACTGCAGGTGCACACCACCATCCCTGGCTAATTTTAAAAATATCTTTAGATATTTAAATATCTTTAGAGCCGGGCTCAGTGGCTCAGCCTATAATCCTGCGCCTTTGGGAGGCTGAGGTAAGTGGATTGCCTGAGCCTGCGGGTTCGAGACTCGCCTGGGCAGGCAAGACTTCATCTCCACAATAAATAAAAAAAAAAAATTAGCCGGGCATGGTA